AATTACACTTGAAGCCTCTTCCTTGTAACCACTATCAGCACATAAAAGTTCTGCAAGCTGAAATCCAGCTACCCTTGTGGTAACTTCAGCTGCTACATCAAGGGAAACAACAGCAACTTGCTTACCCTTATTGACTACAAATTTGAGCATCACTAAGAGGTCCCCAAGCAAGCTACTAACTTTGAAGTGTGTATCCCGTAGATCAATCTCCTGTTTGGACTACATCATAGGAGAATTATAGGAATATCTTGCCCGTTGAACCGCTCCAGAAAGACTGTGCAATTCATCCAGCCACCTGCCATCAATTATGATACCCCTAACAATTTCTTGCTTTAAAAATGAATCCCTGGGATGCTCCCTGTTAGAGACATTAATTACCACAGCCTTAGTAGAAGAGTTCAGGTCCACTCTGATTCTACCCAACTCATCAGCCCATCTCAGTTCAGCCTTAGAGGAGCCCCATATTGCAGATAGTATCGAACTGAAATCCTTAACTGTCGTCCCAGATTTGTCAATTGAGCGAAAGAAGACTGATCCTTCAGTTGCACTCCTCTGTAAGTCATTCTTCCCCAATTGCCTTGTCAAAGCAACCCTAAATAATACAACTCCTCCAACCACAATAGCTTGGTCCTGTCTGTCAGCCTTAACAACATATTTCTCCATCCCTCTTATATTAGTAAGTGTGTTAACACCGACACCCTTCTCAAAATCATTAAGTAATAGGTTTGGATTTACACTGGTGAGATCAACACCAGTGACTAAGATATCTCTATCAGTTTCTGCAGCTGAAGCTCCTCCTGGAGATATGGCATAGATGTCACCATTCACCCCATGCTGATTAATAACACTCTCAGGTGTGACCTTAACACCAAACGCTCTGCTGTTATCTATCTTGTTCCATGGATGTAACATGTTTATTGGTCCATAAGTAATAGTTGCCGCTTCCCGCCAAGCATCTTTGGAATGAGAGCTGGAATCTGGATCAGCGTGGTCTCCATCTTTCTTCCAGTCAACCAAAATTGCATACATCTTAATAAAGTTCCCCCCTCCTACCTTCTTCTTCATTTCCTCTATTTGTGCAGTGCAGGCCCCAAATTCTTCATGAGATTTTGCAAAATCATCTACTGGCCCATGCATTGTGACAGGATCATGTTTAATATCTGATTGCATTCCCTTTTCTAGGGTACTTATGAATGATGCATCTATTTCAGAATTTTGAGTTCTGTCCACCTTAGCTGCAGATGTAACCAGGTCTCGGATATGTGAAGCTGAATCTCCTGTACCTATAGCGATTTCAGGAACCGCTTGGTTCTCCAATTCAGAATTATTTGAAACAGCAATTTCCTCATCAGCAATTGAGGATTGAGTCACCACCTCAGATTTGTCCTCTCGTCCCTCATCCTCATCCATGAGCGTATTCTCAGAGAGAGGTTGCAATAGCCTTCCAGACTCCTGCAACTCAGACAGCAAGGACGAACTGGAAGCTCCTCCTTCTGATTGCGTTGTACCTTGAAGTGAGCTACTGGTATATGATGAAGCCTGTGAACCTGGAAATGACACTTGCAAACTGAAAGCTGATGCCTGTGGACTCAGAAAACTGTTTCGCATCTGTGAATTGGAGACTTCCTTTTGCAACACAGTATACGAACTGAGAGGAGTGGTTCGCATCTGTGAAGAAGGAGAAACGATAAACGATGCTGACTGCGATTTCGAAGAAGTTCGCGATTGTGAACTGGGAGAATTCCTTGACGATCGCGTATACTGATTCCCTGTGTTCAGACTACGTGTAGGCTGGAAATGTCTAGTTATGGATTCCTTCAAAGCCTTCCAACTATCTTCCCTCGTCTGAAATTGCCACCATTGAAACCAGTCAAACGCCTCTTCCTCCTCCATAGCTTCTTCTGCTATTTCAACTTTCCTTCCCTCCGCAGTAGATTTGAGTCGGAAGTATTCTTCCATCTTAACTATCCATTTATCTACTTTATCTCCATTAAACAAAGGTAGTTCCACCTTAGTTCCTGAACAAATATATCTTCTACTGCTATCCCGACCCATACTAGAGCGAGAATTATCATAATTACCTTCAGAGGCAGCTAGAAGCTCAGGTTCCTTTGTTTGTTGATGTTGGGAGTTGGGTCGTTGTGAAGCTGATTGTAAGAGAGATGAAGATCTGCGAATAGAAACAGTTCGCAATGAACTGGGAGATGCCGCTGTTGGTGAAGGCGAACTGGACGCAGCTGTTACCGATTGTGATCCAGGGAAACCGGTTTGCGATGTTGATCGGTGAGGAGAAGAAACTTGCGCAGAAGGCCGGTTTTGAGATTCGCGACCTCTGCGACTGTCTTCCTTCAGCGCTGATATAGCTGCTGCGAATTCCGCCATAGATGCAGCCATGGTGCTCTGAATCTGTTCATTCAACAAGGTCACGAGGTTTGCCATGGCCGACTTCATCTCCCGTCCCAACGTATCTCTGCTATTTTCCATTTTCTCTCTCCTTCCAACTTTCCTCCTCTGAAACGCTAGTTCTATAGTAGCCGCACTTCAAATCCGATCTCCAGGAGCAGGTGCTCTGCAGTAATCGCACTTCAGAAAACGAGAACTCTACTGCAGTCGCACTTCACTTGCGATCCCCAGGAGCGATTGCTCTGATACCAATGATAGGAGCCTGGAAATAATCCTAGCAAAAGTAGTAACAAGCAACACAGATCTGGATAAACAGGGGAAGAAAAGGATGTTTATTGATAATAAGGTAATCCGTAGGCAACAAGGTCGGGACTCTTAGGCAACAAGGCAACTCTCAAATCAAATTAACAGTCTACCTATTATTAGCTACCCAACTTACTATTTATAGTAATAGGTCCACACAGGGACTAAAATAGATAAACAGACCCATTAAATGACCCCAGCCCACTTAATTTACCTCAGCCCATTTTATTTCTCCTTTCAAATACCCTATTAAAATACTAAGTAGGCAGATTCCTAACAAGATTTAGGCCTATCCACCTTAGGAATAAGAACAATCAACGAACAGCCAATAGCACATCATTACCAACAATATCCCAACAAAGTGGAGCACTATTTTTATTTAACCCCCAGACTGCTTCACTTCTTCCTTTGATGGGATTCTTAAAAGGGCATCATTATCCTCCTGTGTAACAATCTGTGTGATGTGTTGCAGGATTCCAGAATCAGAGACAGCATGCAGATTGTTGTCTTCTTGGAATAATTGAGAGAAAAATTCAACAGCAGCTTTGCCTATAGCCTTCTGATCAAAGAGCTCAACACCAGATAAGTCTTCAATCTGAGAAATAAATTGCATTTTCCTTCTAATCTTCACATAAGAGTGAAAATACTGTGTGTTAGCATCCCCTTCTTTAAGCCATTTAATACGTGCTTTCTGTTTCCTGTTTGTGTTTGGCTAAAATAATACTTTGTTTCAATGTACCGGGGAGCGTCTCATAGGACACATGTCACACGGAGGGGGAAGGTCAAGCCATCATGACTGATACCTAGAGAAATCAACCGTCAGCCGGAAAACTGTCAAATCCACGCATCGCGAACACCTTATGATGTGTTCTCTCACATTCGCATTTAATCGTTAAATTCAAATGATGAAATAAATTTGACACTTGATTTCATTTTTCCGTTCCTGTAGAGACGATAAACATATTTTTACTCTACACGGCTACAAATATTTTAAATGCGAGACACATCATGTATAGATATGTGTTGTTTTTGTTTTAGAAATTAGGCACTTCAAAATTCTTATTGAGCCATGCAAAATGAATTTAGCGCAGTAGAGTTACAAATGGATTACTACACAAAAGTATATACTTAAGGCACATAATGATTGTAGAGAGGTAATAATAAAATTGCTATAATATAATATAGTTACCAAACTGGAACGAACAAGTAACAACTTTGTTTAAAAACAGTAGTAAACATCAATAAGAACTACTCAATCTTCTTTGTTCAAAGAATTTCCACCATCATTGTTACATAGCTCATTACAAGATCTACATAACTGTTTGAGACACTTTGTCTTTAATCAAAAGGGAAATGGAACAAATATACTCTTCAACTATAGGTGTGGGTACATTTATACCCTTATTCTATTATATGGAACAAAAAAACATAAAAAGTCAAATAGTTAGTCTAAAAGTATCCTTCTTTAACGGTTCATCAAATTGCCGTCAATCGAAAATAGACTCCAGCTGAAGTTTCTCAATTCATGTGCGTCTTCATCCAAATAATAGAGAGCTGATAACTTCGAACAAACCTGAAACACAAAATGCAGTTAAGACCCCACCGACCCTTCTCTCTGATCAAATTTGGCTCTCCCTCCCCAAGAGCCACCCCCAGTCTATCAACTGCGCCCATCCTTACCCCTGTCCTTTTCTTCACTACTTATGACAATATGTTTCATTATTGGGGGAAGATTGACAATTTCTTGATATGCATTATTTGCTTTGATTTAGGCTTTAGACTGACAAGGTTTGGCCAATGCTATTCGTGCTTTGCCATAATGCTCCAAATGCAATCAAATGTCTTACCTTTTCAAGTAATGGGGCCTTCTTTCATTGGAAAATTGTAATTTCTACTCCGTATTTAGTTATCATGAATTTTCGAAGTAATGGAATATTTTTTGTTGAATTCTAAAACCCAGTTCATCCGTGTTTAGCTTAATTACTTCTGATATTATGAGACATGTGCTATTATTAAGGTATATGGATAGTGTGCCATCTATCATTCCACTCCCTGAAAAAGAAGTACCGAAGCAGTACGAGGAAGCTAAATGAAATTAATTAGAAACTCAGGTTTGCATCTTCTTTAGGAAGCCAACTTTATTCCTTCAATGTGTACTTCAGCTCATTGGATGAACTGAAACTCAAGGAGAAAGGCAGAGTCTTTCATGTACTCAAATCTCTTTCTAACCACGGCTAAAACCTTTATCTCTAGCTCTAGGAAACTTATCTCCAGAAGTCATGTTCATACAATATTTCTGATATAACTGTATCAGATCAAGTTTAGCATTATCTTAAAATTACATGTACAAGCAAGCTGATTAATACGATTCAACAACAAAATACTTTGATTGATTGAAACATGTACTCAATCTAAACAATAAGCTAATGAATTACAAAACATTATAACAGTGCAGTAAAAAACATAAGATTATAACAACAGAGACATATACAACATAGATTACAAGGACAATTGCCAAAGCTAGCCAACTAATAATAGCGAAAATGTAAGCTATCTTTTTCTTCCTCTCCATTTTTGCTCTGTCTGCCAATGAAGCTTCCTCTCCAGTACCACGATTCTTCAAACTTTTTAATTTACTCCATAGCTCTTGCATAGTTGCATTTCTTGTTCTTCCAGTCCATCTCTCTTTTTTACTCCCAAAAAATTCAGTCTGTTATTCTCCTTTTGTAGCATTTTTGTTTCTAATTTCATCTCATTTATCAAATCTTTAGCCCAACATGGTAAAGCTTCATCATGCCATTCAAAATACCTGCATCCATTAACCTGCCAATTTTGTATTCACTTTTCTATTCAAATAACATGCCAAAAATTACACACACAATAAGGCAACCAAAAATATCTTAGGGACTATAAATTAAGGCAGGGAATAAAAATCTTACTCTGTTCGTAGTTCGGACAACTGTAGAAGCGGCATCCAGGGTTACTCTGAGTTTGTGATTTGAATCTTGGAGCTCTTTGTCCACAGAACCATTGTTTCGGTTGTCCTTCATAGTCATGCTCGAAAGTCACTGGCACAGATCTGCTGGACCTGAACTGCGAAGAAGAAGACATCAAAATTATAAATAAAAACAGAGAAGCTTTGATATATTCAGATGGCTACTATGCGACAGAGAAGAGAGAAACTTTAAAAAGAGAGAAGCTTTAATTTGTTTAATCTGGCTGCAATCGAAAATTTGACGGGAGTCACTTTAGTTCTAACGGGGAAAGGGTTTCAAACGTTAGGAGGGTACACTTGTACCCGAATTTCAGTTTTGTAAGATTTTTGTTCCAAAAAATAAAAGAAGGGTATATATGTTATCCTCACACTAATTGTTCAGGGGTATATCCGTCCCTTTTCCCTTAATCAAAACCTCCTTTGCTCCTTTAATCCGCTTACCAGATTCCTTACTCTTTGTTTGTTTACGAGGATAAACACTCATTTGAGCAACAGCAGTAACACCATAAAAACCTTATGTGACACGAGGCCGAATGACACCACATATTTCGTTTCTACTTATGTCTCGAGCTTGCTCGGAACATAAGAAGTGGGGTACTTGTGTTAGGACATTAGGCCCTGGTCCAATACAAGCCCAAATACCCTTAACGGCCTGGCCCACAGACATCCATCTCCAACGTAGTCGTATGGGTGACCCGCACGAGCATGGCCGAGTGGCCATATTTCCTCACCTGAACTCCCTACTCGATCTAGGACTGTCCAAGTCAGAACTCCCCCAATCAAGTGGCAAGAAACCTTAGAATTAGCGGGAAGCGCATTTAATGCATCAGGTATATATGGAAGATTTTATGGTTGGGGTCTATCCACTCAGGATTGGCCACGTCACCCCCTCCACCTACTTATTTGTAGTATAAATAATAAATTTATTTCATTATAAAGGATTAACAACTTAGCATTCTCAAGCAATAAACTTCTCTCTAATTTTCTCAATAGATTTTGGCTTAGCATAGGGGGTCGGAACGCCGTTCAAAATAAGTGTTGTAATCGTTCTATTGATTTGAGTAGAACTGGATCCACTTGATTATATTTGCTTGCCATTCTTGAATTCTTGTTGCCCTAAACACTCACTTAAATATCACTTAACCAAGAAATTCCGATGAAGCCCAAAGGACTGTGTTGAGCCTTTGGAGCCTTTATATAAAATACATAGAGACCAGAAATTTACCAGACCAGAACAGACAGTTAAGGCCAGACCAGAAAATTTCTGTCCAAGTTAAAACATCCCAAACCTCAACAATCAGAATCTTTTTATAATGTTTACTGATAATTTCGTATTTCAACACACATTTCATGCATGTTGAGATTGATTTTTGTCACTTTTCCTAAAATACTTGAGATTGATTTTTGTCACTTTTCCTAATTTATTTGAATTACAAAACGTTTAATTAGTTCAAGTCACGGTTTACCGGATTTTGGTGTTTTTAGAGTCAAAAATCAGGGAATTAAGCCCGACACCGGCGTTTGAGAAGTAATCGACAGAGTTGAGACGCACGCATCTGAGAGTTGATTACGAGCATTAGAGGTCAATGAGGTGTTAAAGACGAAGTTTTGAAGACAAGAGCTCTAGGATTGGCTATGAGATCAAAAGAAGATGAATAAAACTTGAAAACGACGATCAGGATGACGTTCTATCAATCGTTTAAGCATATCTTTTTGTAGGAAGATTACAAGGGCACGATTCAAGTTTCCAATGAAAGATAACTTTGAGGGCTACAATTAATATGAATACACCAAGACGAGAATGTGAGAGGAGAACGGTGAAAACAGACGAAGAAGCTAAATAATCGCTTTTGAGATTTCAGGATGCGACATTCTACCATTTTATTCATATTTTTTGTTTGGGTTATCCAAACCCAATGTTGAAAGTTGTGGTGGATAGAAGACTTCATTATCTACAATTATGTTAAAGAAAGAATAGTCAAATTAGGAAGATTAGTCAAACACGTCTCGCTAGAAGAAGAAAAACACGTAAAGGCTGCTGGAGGGCAGGCATGTGCCTACCAGGGAGGCACGCTGTGCCTGGAAGTTTTACGCGACTTGTGCTCCAGAGGCACGGATGTAGGCACGCCGTGTCTGGGCGCCGTGCCTGCCGCCCCATAAATCCCGATTTGGCCCGGATTCAACTGTTTTCTATGAATACAGCCCGTAAACTCTTTTTTGTTTTTGTTTTTGTTACAGGGCTTATGGAGAGGCCTAGGACGAAATTTTGAGTAGATTTCCATGTAGCTATTCAAGACCCTAGAATTATTTGTAAGTTTCATATTTTTAACTAATGACAATTAATTCTTTTCTTCTCAATTCTGTTGATTTCTCAATTATGAATTGTGAGTAGTTCTAATTAGGGATTTGAGATTGATGAAGAGATTAATTATGATCTACGGTTAATTTCTCGATGGATTAATTGCATGATCTTTATTTAATTTGTGTTTGAAACTTGTTGTATGAGAGATCAGCCTTGTTCTCTAAATTATTGTACTCTACGAAGCGAGAGCGGTAAAAATTTAGTATTGATTACGTTTCTCAATTAAATAATTTTCATGTGATTAAGCCTGATCAGCCAGAAATTTGATTACCTCGGAGTCAATCCTTGTTCCCTATCGTCATTAATCAGAAAGAACTCGGTTATTTTAATCGCTTATTCGCATTTTAATGTCCCACAAATCCAAATCTCGCACAATTGCATTTATTTTATTTTCTAATCGCTGAATTTAGTTAATTCCTGATTCCCCTTTTACTGTCCTTGTTGAGACAATACTCGTACTGAAACCCTATATTACTATATCTTTTTAAGTGCGAGAAAATTCACATCAATTTTGGCACTGTTGGCTGGGATAGTGTTGGTTTTAAGGGTTATTTATTTTCAGCGGTACATTCTAGTTTTTATTTTGTTTTTCCGACGGATTATTCTTTGCTAAATTTTCAGGAAAAAAAATACTTTCTAAAGAGGCATGAGATGAACACATTCATCTCAATTCTTGGAGGAACACCTTACCCTCAAACCTCCATGGAATATTCACCATATACGTCATATCCTACTTACATTTCTCATCAATTTTATTCTCCTCATCAAGATTACTCTCATACACCACAAAATATCCAACCTTCTTATCCGTACCCTCCAACCACGCTATCCTTCCAATATGATTCTTCTCATTATTATCCTTCATCAAAATACCCTTGGGTTAGAGTAATACTCGGATCTATTCTTGAATATCTTCTCCTGAGGAATTGTCTCATTACTTTCTTAAGAATAACATTTGTTCCTTCTGTGGAGGACGTCATCATTTATCCTTTTGCCACGATAAACCTCGATATGATCATCCTTACAGGACAGTTGCATACACCACTTCATCCTCTCGACAAATTAGGAACACAAATGTTTCAGTCATTTCTATATCATTGCCTAGTAATGAGACACATAATCAATTAGAGGAGACAACTTCGGAAAACAAACAATAAAAAAAACAAAGAAAGAAAGTCAACAAACGATAGAAACGATCATCTGGAGGAAGGCATGCAGGTGAAAAAGAAACCAATAGGTCAGTTGAAGTTGTAACTAATTACAAAAATGTTCGCTAGTGACATTTACCGCTCCGCTGGAGGAATGCATGCGGCCGTTGTACTAGGAGGCTGCCAAATAGAAAAATCTCCCCGTCCATTGTACCATTTGACTCGAAACTTCTTGAATGTAACAACATTTTGGGGTTTTGCTGATTCCTGAGTAACGGTTACTGCGTTATCGCAAGGGAACCTGTATCACAGGATTCCTGAATCCCTCGTTTCAGAAACGTTCTCCGAGCATCAGAAACCATACAGTTTTCGGACATTGAAAATATTTTCACGTTTTGAGTTGTCTTCGGCTTTAACTCCTACAAGCACTCGGAGTCTAAAAGAAGAATCAAACCTCAAACCCTTCTTCGTCTTCTGCTAGAGGTAATTCGCATCATCTGTTTTATCGAGTTTATCATACTTTCTTCTCACACGCTGCTTTATTGTTTCCTGCAGCGCACACTCGCTGATTTGCGTGGTAAATAAATGTTGTTTTCTTCTCCCTCTTCTATGAAATCCGTTGATATTGTTTGTTTGAGGATCTAGTCCGAACTATCCTTTCTCTAAGTCAGTCATTCCATGAGTTAGAGGAGTTTGAGAAGCATGTGTTATATGATATTTTTCATATCATATAACACAATATTAGTTTTGGGAAGCATGTTCTTTGATCTTCAATACATAGTCCTCGCTTTGTTCATATGACATGTTCAGAAACTCAAGCTTGGTTTTGTACAAGGTCCACCTTGGTGAGTTTTGGCTATCAGGTAGAAAAAGGCAAGGCACCTATGTTAGAATGTCAAATTTACTTTTGACGTATTGAGACTTTTGAGTTGAACAACCTCTGAACTTGTTTCATGTTTTGTGAAAGTGCCCATAAGTAGGTAAAATTTGGGTTGAGTTCGGGAAGGAGGATGTTGGCTTTTGTGTGGACGAGTATTATGGGAAAGACAACCAAATAAAAAAAGGGCAGCCTAGAGCACATTGGCATCCCCGCAAGGCGAGAGTCCGGGGAAGAACCCCACCATAAGGGTGTACAAGGAGCAAGCTTTCTCTTGTCTCAATGTTTGTTGGGCTTCTTGGTTCTTCTTGGGGTTCTGTTTGCGAAAACGTGATATTTAGGGACACATTTTTGGTGGTCAATGGATGTTCTGTTTGGGCTTCTCATTTCATCTGCAGGGTGGTGCTTTGGTGTTGGTTTCTTTGTTCACTAGAGCTTGTTGTTTCTTTACTTTAGCTTTGGGCTAGTACCCATGTTCATTAGCGTTTTGTACTCTTCTTCTTTTTAATAAAGTTTTTCATTTTCAAAAAAAAAATATATATATATATATAGGGAGCGAATCAGGTGAGAAGTGCTCTTAGGCTGAGAACTGCGAAGTTAAACTTATAGACTAAATATATGAACTTTTAACCAATAAATCATAACTTATAGACCCCTCGAAAATAATTACGGAAATGCCACCGCAAAAAAATAATCACAGAAACCTGGAATTTTTTTGACGCGGTGACATTTTAGTAATTATTACGGAGAGCTTTATAAGTTATGATTTATTGGTTATAAGTTCCTATATTTAGCCTATAAGTTTTCTGCGTTGTGAGATCAGATGCAAATCCAAGGGCTGAGATTACTTCTCACTTCTCATTTTAAGGG